ATTGTATAGAAAGTTTTATTTTATTTTATATAATTAATTATTTTTAAAAATTATGAACCGTAAATGACCTCCATGCTCAGCCAAGTTAACAATAGCTAACAAGCTAGTCTTTTGAGCTGCCAAAACTCCAGTGTATACAGTATGATCGCGCATGATTTAAGTGATTTGTATGACCAGAGAATGTTAATGAATAGAGAAGGCGCAAATGTTAGCTGTGCTAAAATGTGCGAAATTAATTTAAATTAATGAATGAAATTGAATTTGATGAATATTTCAGTAAAACGAGAACAATTATATTTTAAAAATTTGACAACCACCACTGAAAATCCTACCTATCCCTTCGCGTTTATATGTTGCTTACAAGCTGCTTCCTCACGACGATGGTAAAAATCAGAAATTGAAGAATTTGTCTGATATTCCCTTCAGAAAGGAGAATTGGCAACATGACCTATTAGTTAGTTAGAGTTAAAATAATATTTTGATTTTTTCATATTATGCACTATATATAGCATTAAATTATACAATTTATATACATTTGTAAAATTGCCACTAATATGAAATATTTAACTACTTCTGTATATTCTAAGCACAGTCCATATAGTACTTCTATATGTTTACTTATTATCATTGTTTCATAGTTTATCGATTTAGCCCATTTTATCTAAAAACGACGCTATAAAAATGCACCCCAATCGTTAATCGCAGTATTTCAAAAGGGCATAAGTCAACTTTCAAAAGCAAACCACTGCAAAAAGGACAAACGAGACAACATAGCGGACCGACATTGTCGTCAAATTGTCGATTGAAACAAATTTTGTCAACTCCGCGACGATTCGCAAAATTCGGCGTCAATATGTATGCGAGCTCATATGTATATATGTATGTATATTCATACCATTATTTAATAGGCGGAGACTTTGCGGAAATATTTAGCAATAGAAAAAGTATATTTTCTTTCAATGTTCGAACAATTTGCGATGCACGTTTGAAGTTTTTGGGTATAGTAAAAAGATGGTCAGGGTCTACACATGATCTGGAGAATTTAGAGACACACTAGTGCTTGCTAGTAGGGTATAACTGCCGGTCATACCCCATTTGGGGAAAGGAAAAATGGCGAAAGGAAAATATATACATGCACACATATATATTATATATGCGTGACCCAGTCTTCGACTATTTCTCTTATTGGAGGGATGGGTTTTCTCGCCTCATACCCCATTTGGGGAAAGGAAAAATGGTGAAAGGAAAATATATATTGGACGGATGGATTTTCTCGAATGCGGTTTTTTTTTGTGCCTTTCGCTTTGTCTTCGTAATTCACCTTGCATACAAGTGCACGTGCTTTTGGTTTGTTTCGTTCCACGCTTTGCTTGCTGATTACGAGAACGTTTTATACGATTTTCTGCTATAAAAGAAGGAATAAATCAGAGAAAAAATAATAATTTTTTCGAATTGCTTAATTTCCACGAGTTATTGGTGCTTTGGATTGCACGCACGTAAAAATCCAATCCCAAGTTGCGATGCATGTTTGAAGAATTTGGGTACAGTAGAAAGATGGCCAGGGTCTACACATGAAGCTACCATAATGCGGAACTTTAATATTATTTCTCGTCTTGAATCTGTAGAATTTGGAGATACACTAGTGCTTGCTGATAAAGGATACGTAAACAATCAGCGGATTTTAACTCTCCTTCATTCCGTCAACAGCCCAGCTGAAAGATTATATAACGAATCGCATATTCGATCTAGAAATCCAATTGAACGCTCTTACGATGTCTGGAAACGTAGATTTCCTATACTGTCTTTAGGTATACGAACGAATTGCACAAAAGTGCAATCAATAATTGTCGTCACAGCAGTCTTGCATAATTTATGCTGTTTGCATCACCACACTGAAGCACCTTCTTAAATCCTGGAAATGATATCCTCTCCTCCT